GGTGTAGTGGGAATTTGCGTAGCTCGTAGGTAGTGTGGTAGAGTCAAGCCAAAACACACATTGTCTGTCAGCGTAGCATTCTACCAACATGTACAGTCCGCATTACTATGTTAATGTTCCAGCAAAGACGGAGCGTCTGCAAGAGGTTTATATAAGGAGGCGAAGGTAATCATCGAGATGCACCCTAGCTGTGTGCATTGACCAATCAGTTGCTAATAACTGGAATGCAACACAGCTGAGGTGCAGAGCCCACATGATAGAGAGAGTAGAGGAGAGAAAGACGGAGGAGAGGCAGCGGCCGCCAAGCGGCCCTGACAACATAACCCAGAATAAATGACCAATACAGCTAAGAACTAAAATGAATTATTAATTCAAGCCAGGTTTATGTCTAGTTATATACACAAATATAAAATAAAAGGAGTAATAAAGTCAAGAGATTAATTTGTCATGATATTAAGATTAGCATTAGGAAAGTCTGGTGAGGACATACACAGAAAGGAGCTTCTCCATATCTGAGCCAAGCCAGTGTTTTCCCTCATAGTGTGCCAGGAAGTTCCAATCAAGCATCACTGCTTGTTTAGCCCAGTACAAAGCTTTACAGTCGTAGCTTGAGGTACAGTTGGGAACGGTCCATCAAATATTGGAGTGTATGGATGTTTATGAAGGGAAGGCAGGAGAACCATTACTCTATAGGTTGATGGTGCTCTTGAGTCCATATAAACCAGTGAGATGCCTTGATAAGTGACTTAAAATCATTTTATACAGAAAACAAAGCAGAAGTACAGGGTTGCATCGATCCTCTCCAGGATCTGTGTGAGTCAATGGTGGGAATGCCAAATTCTTCAGTACAGCAGAGCTCTGAGATGTCCGGCCTCTTACTCACACTGCTCCACATTCAATAGTCCATTGTCTCTATAGAGGTGGAACCTCAAACCTATAAGTCAGAGATGAAGGCTTGAAGATGAAGTCATCTCAGCAGGAGAGCTGTTCAGCTAGACACCTTCAGGGCTGGGGAACAATTCCTAAATCCTGTTCCCTCACTGTAAATCCTCCCAGGCAATTGGTCTGCTGCAGGGGTGATAAAGATAACAATGCCAGTGCCCAGCACGAGTTTACATGTGATAAAAATGTATATGGTAGTTGAATTTATTTGCACAACAGCATTTATATACAATTTTGAATTAATATTTCTTTTCCCTTTTGGAACAATTACACACTTGAAAGGAAAATAATTTTTCTACTGGTTCTAGTGGAAGTCAATTCAATGAAATTGCATGTAGGATACAATTTTGGCTTTATACAAATGTGCTTTCTATTGAGGGCAATATGAACCATGATGTTAAGGTGTGTGAAGAGTTGGGTGCTTGCGCTTGTTATGGTTTCTTCCTTCAACATAATGAACAGAAACTTGCAACTCCTCCTCCCTCTATGTATATGTGTACAAAGGCTAGCAAATTTTCTAAATGATAATGGGACAATTATTTAAAAAGAGTCAATTCTACCATGAAACACAATTACCATACATTGATATTAATCTCAAACCTTCATATTAAGGAGGGCCCCTTTTTTGGTTAATGCGCTAGTAAAAAAAAAGCGGCTTCCTCGGGTGATTTATGAGTGCCACAATGTGTTTGCAATGTGAGGCCATTATCATACAGCTGTGGAGTTCCTCCTCTCAGTCTTCTTTATCTAAAATAAACACAAAAAACAAGGGGCAAAACGGCACATGGTGCGTTCAGGCCCTTAAAAGTGACTTGAATTTCCCACAGCCTAGTGTTTTTCAAGATTTTCCATTATTTCTGATATCAAGCTGTGAATTTACTGACATTGTCGACCTATAGGTTTTCTATACTTTATAATATTATAGTAAATTACTACAAATCTTTGTTTTGTTTAGAAATTCACAATCTGCTAATCACTCTTAGAAATCTGCGTTTCAATACGATCTCCTCCAACTCTTATGTTGATGATATTCCAAGCAAAAAGAAGGTAGGGATGAAAGTGGGCGGTGTTTACTGATGCACGGTGTCTGGAATGACAGTACACTGCGATATATAAACTGGGAAGGACGTCAAACGTCCTTCACTGGGAGTCGCTAGCGCTGATGCTCCGCCAGACGCGCGCATCCCTGTTGGCAGCACACGTCTCGCATTAGCACAGCAAACTCGAACAACATCTGACCGGCACGATGGATGGGCAACATAAAGACCGCAGAATGACTCACTTGTGGATATTGACGTTACTGATATTAGTCTAATCTCTAGCCCTGGATAACTTGGTCTTTTCTAACTTCTTCTGGATACGGATTGTGGAGCTGGATCTTGTCCTACAGGCTTTGGAAGAAGGATTACATTCATTCCGATCACTTTATTTGTCATCACTCCGTTTTCGCGATCTCTTGGAATAGGACCTTTTTGCGGGAGGACAAACTGATTTTTTTAAGGATACGCACACCAAACTCTAAAGGATGGCCATTTGGTTAACTTCTACTCTCGCATTAGTTATAACATTATTTACTCAGGTATGTTTTTATCTTTCCAGTTAGGAATTCACCTGAAAAAAAAAACGTTGTGTCATGTTTCTGTGCTGACTGTTTGTGTCCTTTTAGGTTCTGGGATCAGGTGTGTTCGAGCTAGATCTACATCACTTTCAAAATAGGAAAGGTTTGCTGGCAAATGGACTTAGTTGCAGCATGACCGGCTGCAGAACTTATTTCACGGTTTGTCTGAAGAACTTCCAGACGGTGGTGTCCCCTGGAAAATGTATATTTGGCAAAGTCACCACACCTGTCTTGGGCACCGACTCCTTCAGCATCCAGCAGGACGCCAGGCTGCGTCTGCCGCTCAACGTCACCTGGCCGGTAAGAGCACCTGTTCTGCCGTGCGTACTAATGGAATAACACACTACAATTATGCACACACCAAATCAATAAGCGTTTCCCAGCAGTTAACTGAAGCGATGAGACAAAAAATGACCTTGTAAAGTACATTTGCTGAGAAAATAGTTAATAGCTTGTTTATGATCTAGACTACATAAAAATAACGCCAACCACTGCACTGGGATGTCATATGTATATAAATACCACGGAAATACACTTTTTGAATGTCATTTAAAACGTCATCCCTGTTTGCATAAAGAAAGAATATAGTCCGTGGAACTATGACACCATTTTCTTATTGAGATAAAGTGAAAAGTATTTATGTTAATAATGTTGGAACTCTTTCCAGGACCCTTGCATCAGATTTTTTATGAAACAAAAGTCATGCCATTTATTTATTTTCTATTTCTGGTAACGTCTGTTCATTAATGTGTCCCCACAGGGTGCTTTCTCATTAGTTATTGAAGCCTGGCATTCTCCTGCCGCGGAGCTACCTGGAGGTGAGGAGATGTACACCGTCTGCTCTCCACTAGAGGGAGATCTGCCGTGTGTAGCCCTCTCGACTAAGCACCTATCACGCATTTTAATGAAATAACCCCCACAGAACCTGTTACAGTGCTGACAAATTAATCTGGCATTTTCAGCATGATGGATACGGCTTTTTTAGGACGCCTTATGAGTCACTAACGGATCTTTACAATCAGATCCCTCCAACACAATTGCACTTCCCTTGTTTTATTTTTGGTCAGCATGGGAAAGTGGCTCAGATGAGAATACGAGGCCTTGCCAAAAATTCCCATGGTAGCCTTTTCCTGGATTTTACACCCTTTATGTTAGGTCCTTCATAACAAAGATGTTCACATGTGAAGGGAAGAGGGAGCTACTGTACAGATTGTGTGACAAATCACTAAATAAATAATTGTTAGATGTATCAAAAACATCATAAGATACTGTAACATAACCAACTCTGCAAATGTTTCTGCTTTAAACCTATATTTATATGCCTGCTGTGTTTTTTTTTTAATTCACAGATACCACCAACCCTGAATTCTTGATTAGTTCTTTTGCCATCCAACAACAGTTGGGAATAGGGCATGAGTGGTCTCCGGATGTACAGAGCGGGGCGCAGACGGAGCTAAGGTACTCATACCGGTTCATCTGCAAAGAAAATTACTACGGCCACACTTGTTCCAAAATATGCGCGCCGAGAGACGACCATTTTGGCCACTACACCTGCAAGACTGACGGGCAAATAGCCTGTCTACCTGGATGGAAGGGAGAATACTGCCAAGAACGTAAGCAAGAACAAAGACCCTACTTTTCTTTGTTTAGGAAAAGGGACACGGGGTACTTTGTAGGCCTTTATTTTGGTAGGCTAGATTTTGTTGTATGCTATTCAGCAGTGATGTTCTTAAAATAAGATGCGACGTGCACCTATTGCATTGTAAATTTGAGAAAACAAAAGCTACTACTGAGTTGGGCTTTGTTGTCTACACTGTTACATGGCCACGGGTGTGTGCGTGTTTCTGGGTGTGAGGCAGAGAGGAGCTATTAAGGTGCCATTTGAACACACTGCTCTCCGGGCGGTGGTCGGCCAGCAGCACGCGCCGGGGTTAATCGCGGCATTATCGCCCGCCACGCGCCACTAAATTGCGGACTCTGTTGTTGCGGTGGTGCAAAGCAGCAGCTGCACACGGGACTCGAACTGCCCACCGATAACAAAGGGGCAGCTGTCCTGCTTTTTTGAGAACAAGCATCTGCTCCGCACTAACCAGTCCGTCAACACTATAAACCCATGTAAAATCAATGTCACATAGAGGCGCAGCAAATTCTGCTTTCCCTTTGTTATGACCAGGTAACAGGTTTTATTGTGCTAAGAAAAAATATGTAAAGGTGATAAAAGCCGTGATTACAGCTTGTTTCTTTCTTTTTCTTTTTTACAGCCATCTGTCTTGAGGGCTGCAATGAAAGGAATGGAAACTGCACATTACCTGGAGAGTGCAAGTGAGTATTCATTTGTTAACTGTCTAAATAAATGTTCGGCTTTGTTCAGTGGCATCATGGGATCTACAAACTGCCAAAGCACAATGATCCGCATTTACAGTGATTTGAGTACTGATATGCATGAACTTATTATGTAAAACAAGAAGAAAAGCTTCTACAACAGTTTTTTAGGGTGCATTTTTCCTTTTAATTTTTTTAAGTAATATAATGCTAAAATATAAAAAGAAAACTATGTGTAAATACTGTATTCTTTCATTAGATTTTCTCTCTGTCAGGAGGCTTTTGAGTTGTTGTGAGACATGGCACAACATGAGTGTTAATCAGTGTGTGTGTGAGCCAACACAAATGCTGTACTGTTTACTGTATATGTGAACAGATGCAGAGAGGGCTGGCAGGGCCTCTTTTGTGATGTGTGTAAACTCCATCCCTCCTGTAAACATGGTACCTGTATAGAGAAGTGGGAGTGCACCTGCAAAGAAGGCTGGGGAGGCATCTTTTGTGACCAAGGTGTGTAACTACGCCTACGTCTTGGGGGAGGGGTCAAAATAAGAAAACTAAAAGGTTCAGTGTGATGCTTCTTTTTGGTTCCATTTAGAATGTTTCCAACTGTTTGTTTACAGATCTGAACTACTGCACCCATCACAAACCCTGCACCAATGGGGCTACGTGTATGAACACGGGCCATGGCAGCTACACCTGCACATGCCTGCCAGGCTTCACCGGGGTTAACTGTGACTCAGAGGTCAGGGAGTGCGATAGCCAGCCTTGTCAAAACAAAGGCCACTGCCTAGTGAGTCCAGAAGTTTCTCTCTCTCTCCTTTCCTACAACACGTGCTTTCCTGTTTTTGTTTTTGCCTCAGTCTGTCTGGTAGTCAGGGAGGATGCTATCGATTGTCAAGTCAGTAGATGTCCCAGTTCACAGACTGTGTACTGTAAATAGAATTCAGACTAAGGATAATGGGGTTCGTTGGGGCAGTCGTGAACAGGATATGATAAAAAAAACATCTGACAGGGAGCTTTTTGATAAACTTTATGTCTTTTCCCCTGCAGGACTCTGACAATGGCTATGAGTGTGTATGCCCACCGGGGTTTGAAGGGACATACTGTGAGCACAAGATGCTGACTTGTGCAGATACACCATGCTTTCATGGTGGGAAGTGCAGAGAAAGGGAAAATGGGCATAGTTACATATGTGAGTGTCCAGCAGGATACACTGGACGCAACTGTGAGAAGAAAGTGGATAAATGTACCTCACTGCAATGTACAAATGGTAATATATCATTCTGTCAAAGATAATTCTTCCCTTTTGGTTTATTTGTGTTAAAAATAACATTAAACACACCTGTTTATTTTTGTTTGTTTGTTTTGCACAGGTGGACATTGTGTGATCCATGGTAACCTCCGACAGTGCAGCTGTCGCTTAGGCTTCACAGGGCTGCGCTGTGAGATCAACATCAATGAGTGTGCTGGGGCCCCCTGTGCAAACGGCTCCACCTGCATAGACCGCATCAATGATTATACCTGCACCTGCCCTCCAGGCTACACAGGCCGCCACTGTGACAAGCCCACAGACCGCTGTGCCTCTCAGCCCTGCCTGAATGGAGGGACCTGCACCACCGGAGCCAAAGGCCAACCTACTTGCATGTGCCCTACCCATTACAGTGGTCCCCATTGCCAGGCTAGTGACGTGCCTTTAGACAACACCTCAAGTGACAAAATGAGCTTGGCAGGCATCAGCTTAGGAGTAGGCCTGGTGGCTGTTCTGGTGCTTTTCTGGATGGTAGTGGTGGTAATACGTCAAGTCAAGAAGCAGAGAAGCAAAGAGCAAGACTCTGAGATGATGAACAACATTTCCAAGGTTGACTTTCAGAAGGAGAACCTCATCTCTACTGTAGAGTTGAAAAACACCAATAAAAAGATTGATTTGGAGGTGGACTGTCCCAGGGAAAAGTCTAATCACAAACACATCAACCATTTCCACCTGGACTTCAAAACCTCCAAGGGGTACAAGGATGAACTGTCCCTTCTGGACAAAGATGAAAACTGTGAAAAGACAATAGAAGACAAAAAGCATTTGAGTAGAATGTACAGGTAAGTGCACATGGAAAGATTAAATGATCTGTTGTATTATGTATGGTATGTGGTAGTATTTTAATACATTTATGATCTCATTAAATGACACTTAGTACTTTCATTTAACAGTAAAAGGCCAGAGTGTAGGATATCAACAACATGTTCTTCCAGAGATTCGGTGTACCAGTCTGTCTTTGTAATACAAGAAGAGAAAAATGAATGCATCATTGCAACTGAGGTAAGCAGGAGCTTTAATATTAACTAGAAACAGCACCTCCTTTTTTGTTATTTCAGATATTAGATTTATTGCTGAAGCAGTCACCGAGTACTTCTGTCTTTTTCCTCCAGGTATAATAAGATATTTTTCATCATCAACATTGGATTTCTGGTGGACTGTTTACAAGTGTGAAGAGACTGGGATTTATTTAAATGCAAGTTGCTGCTCTTAAAAACTTGATAACTGGATGGAGCCGGTGTGCTCTTCATATGCAATAGAACTACTAAACCTTGTGAGAATGTAATGACTGAAAGAGACTGCAAGAAATAATGAGCAAATCTCACTTGTGGGTGATTTTGACTCAAACCCTTGCTTGCTCTGCCCAAGTTCATCCAGTGGCAACGGGCCGACATGTATATGCCTGCGTGTTGATTAGAAGCAGAGGACTATCTTGTTGTCCTCCTCTCCACTTCACTGCAGTAACCCACAATCAGTAAAACAACTTACTGCCAATATATCTGTGGATGGAGCTAGCCTTTTCTACTTTTTGTGACCCGCAATGTGCTATGCAAACAAAAATCAGCATTGTGCTACATCAAAAAGGGACAAAAACTACTGAAAACGGTTCATTTTTGAAAGATATTTTGGGTAATCGGTTTTGTAAATCTAATCCTATTTTATAAAGAATGTATACAACCTAGACCACAAAGCCTTATATATGTGTTTCAAAAAAAAACTTTGTGCCCCGCCTTATCTTGATTCCTTTGCACAAAAAATCAAAACAATGCTATGCTATAGTGCCATGCAGGGAAACTCATGAAAAGGCCTTGCTTTACCTTATGCAAGGTCACTCTAAATAAAGAAATACACAAAGAGACTATCTTACCAAGGATGCCTTCAAAGGAAATTACAAACCAATAATGTTATTTTACAAGATTAGTATTCCATTAGTAATTTAAGAATATGAAGCACTGATCTTTCTCTTTCTGTTTTATAAGATTATTTTGTATATACTGTATATTTATATGTTAAGATTAGAAATATGATTTGTACATCTGTTTTTAGGTTGATGCCTCAAAAAGATGAATTTATTTTTGAAGTGTTGGTGTTTTGTTTTATTTTATTTTGTGCTATAAAAAGAATCAATTAATACATATCTGGTACACAGTTTGTCTGTTGGTCTTCAAGTGGTTGAGTGTACATGTGGTCAAACAGAAATCCTAATTTAAATGTTATTCATTTAAAAATATATATATATTTGTGTCAACTGGTGTGGAGATGGCTTCATTGTCTATAATATTAGGCCTGGCATTTCTAACGATGTCTAATGTCCACAACATCCGTGTCAGTGTAATGTGAACTCAGTGTGCTAGCAATCAGACAGTGGACAATCTTTTAATTGGCAATAATGTAAGGAAATACTGAAAGTGACATATTTTTTAAAAATCTGTATGTGAAAATAAAGAGTCCTTGTGGTCCTTCTTCTTAAGTGCCTTTCTGAAGTGCTGTTGTATTTTTAGATATTATATTTGGAAAAATAGAGCTGCTAGGTGTATAGCGCTAAAGACTACATATGATAGTAATGATCTCTTATGCTCCCACTGAAAGCTGAAATAAGGAGGGGATGGCGTGAGATCGTCCATCCATACATCCATTTTCTATACCACCTAGTCCCAAACGGGGTCACGGGGGGCTGGAGCCAATCCCAGCCAGCTGCGGGCGAGAGGCGGGGTACACCCTGGACAGGTCGGCGTGAGATCAGAGGCAGAGAAACTTAAAAAATGATGACACACCAATCAACCTAACCTGCATGTCTTTGGAAGCCGGAGTACCCGGAGAGAACCCACGCAAGCGGAGAGAACATGCAAACTCCACACAGAAAGGTCCCGGGCGGGGCCCGAACCCGGAGCCTTCTTGCTGTGAGGCAACGGTGCTAACCACTGCGCCCTGTGCAGAACAACTAAAAGGCTTAAAGCACAGATCAAATAGCTCCAGCTTTCTAATGGTAATGTGATCACCTGCTGGCCTGTCATTGATTGTTTAAGACTCAAGGATACAATATTCCTGCATTTTAAGTAATACAATGATAGGCTATGTGCCCCTGACCATGATGTGAAAAAATAAAAACGGCAATTGTTAAAAGAAATACAGAAATATCGTTTGAAACAAAGCAAGTCGAACTCTAACCCACTGTTTCCACAACGCTACACTTCTTGTATCTTCATCATGTTTCCCCTGATGAGATCATACCGGTATGAAGTGTTGGACTAAAATGACTCTGATTGGTTTATCCACCCGCCCCCTGCACGCGACCGCCTCGCTCTGACCTACTGATCAACAAATACACGTTTGTTTTCCCAGAGGTGAGAAACGGACTAATCAACGGTTACACTTCCAGATGATGTTTTGACGAAACTGGGTATGATAACGGACGCTAAGCTGTGTACAGGACTGCATCAGATTTAGGTAGATCATCTTGTTTTAGCACTTTATAATAGTGACAGTAAGATCTTTTGGAATGTATAGGGGGGTAAAAACCAGATACCCGAGAACCGCTACAGGTGATAGAGACAGCACAAACGTCATTGTCTCATTTCTCAAACAGTCAAGTGATAAAATGAAACATCAAGATTTAATAGAAAGAACGAGCAGTCTGTGGATATTTGGATATGGCTCCTTAGTGTGGAAACCAGATTTTACTTACAAAAGGAGAAAAATCGGCTTCATTAAAGGATACAAAAGGCGCTTCTGGCATGGAGATGAATTTTATCGCGGGAACAAGGGAAAGGTGAGATTTGTAACTACACGTGCCTCTGAAACAATAATTTACTATTATATTCTCCCATTCAAACATTTTCTCATCCCTTTGAGCATTTTGGTAGTTAGTCTATTAATTCATCTGTTTGTGGTATATTTTATTAAAGTATCAAATTTGTTGTTAATGTGTGATATGCTGAGTAGTCCTGTTCTCACTGTGTCCATGCTCTTTACAGCCAGGCAGGGTGGTCACCCTAGTGGAGGATCCAGAGGTATGTGTGTCCTTCCTCTGAAACTAACCAGTCAGTGTTAATACTAGGCCTATATACTGTATGAGAGGTGAAACGTCTTCTACCTAAAATCAGGTCCAGATGATTTTTTTCTACGTTTTTTCAGTGATCACTTATCTGTGTTGGCACGTTACTTGATTGAATTTTCCCATATGTTGTACTTGACATATATACTGTAACAAACACGTACACAGTTGCCGCTACCAAATGATGCTAGCTCCTGTCCTTTACCTGTTCTCCTCTCAGGCTTGCACTTGGGGAGTGGCCTATGAAGTGACGGACTCGCAGATTGAAGAGTCCCTCCAGTACCTGAACATGAGAGAGGTTGTGCTGGGGGGCTACATAACAGAGAGGGTTGAGTTCGTGCCTATGGAGAAGGGCAAGGGCTCCCTGTGGGTCCTTGTCTACATCGCTACCTCTGACAACCCTACCTACCTCGGACCGGCTTCGGACAAGGAGATCGCTGCTCAGATCGCCATCTGTCACGGTAACGCAGGCCGCAACATTGAATACCTGGTCCGTCTGGCGGATTTCATGAGGCTCTACTGTCCAGGGGAGGAGGACGAGCACCTCTTCTCTATTGAAGCGGAGGTTTTGAACATTTTCCGTGGATGAAACATCCAGACCAAAAATCCCTTCTGCTGGGAAATATATGAGACAACATAAAACACTCTGTAACATGAAAATGTTATTATACTAGATAAAAAGATGAACTCTTGCAGCACATGTTTAAGGGGACTTGGTACTTAAAAACGAAATATCTGATTTGGTTTCAAGGAAAATAAATAGTGGTGACATTTTCAGCAGTTAATGGGTTTCAGGCTGTAACACAACTTAAAGAGAGTCTCATGTTACTCAGCACTTTACTTTTGACCTTCTCACTTTGACATTTTTCCACTGTCAACTGTGTAAAATGTATTTAATAAAAACAACTAACTGTACAGCTCCCTGAGCTTTTAGACATTGTTTGTGCATTTACAATGTATTGTATATTGTTCTAGAAAACATTTTGTGGAATTCTGTGCAGTTCTTGAGTTTGTGTTGCAGCAAGCAGGCTATAAAAACATTTTCTTCCATGTTGCCAGGGTCTTTAACCTCTTACCAGCCACAGTAGTGGGTCCATCTATTAACATTCCAGTTGTGCAGCCAAGCTTTGCTCAAACTCATAAAACTTTACTTTAAAATCTGGTTTGGATCAGAGAGACGTGAATGGACTCCATTACGTTGAATATGTCAGAGTCAATTACATGCATTTAAAGTGATTAACAAACAAGTAAGCTATTTCATTTGTTGTTATTTTGATAAGATGCATATTGACATATCTACCCAGTGTAAAGAAGCCTAAATAAGGAACAAGGAAGACCAGTGGTGCCAACCTCATGAGTGATCTGTTTATTCAGTTAGGAGTGCTGTTTATGCCCACTCAGCTGTGGAGCCACACAGAAACCATGGAAGGCAGCGTGCTTATCCACTATAGACAGAACATGTATGGGCAAAGCTGGGAGGTTGGAGAGCAGATAGTTGATTTTCTTTACACTGAGAACTTTGATCATGTTGTTGTGATGTGTGCAAATGAACAAGCCCATATTTTAAGTGTACAGTTCCTTGGCACACTGCTCTGCTTTCCTTAAAAATATGCCCAAAACTAGGTAGGAGTCCTGAGTTGTGAAACACAACAAGGGAACATGCAGTTCTCAGAGAGCTCTCCTAAAATAAAAAGACATGGACAGGATCCTGCTAATGCATACAGTAGTGGCTGTTCTGTGTGATAAAACTGATATACTGAGGAACTGTTTGTTGCTGAATGACCATTTAAAACGTTTCCTACACAGCGCATTAAAAGCACATACTGAGACACAGTGTTTTGTTTTCAGTAAAACAAATGAGATCATCCAAACAGACAGACAGCAGTGAATTACCAACACAAATGTCTGTCTGTGGTGTCTAACAGCATGATATTGTGACACGTGATACAAATCCTGGTCCAAGCAGGTCAAAACAATGACTCCTGAGTCAGTGTGTTCTTTGCCTCCCACATCCTGCAGTCATTTGTTTGATTTGTTTATTTTCACTACATTTGTTTGTTTCCTTTTTGAGTCCCCACTAAAGACTGAAAAGATTTTCCCTGATTTATTGATAATGTTACAATGATCTATCATCAGGTTTTTCTTCTTCACTGTCACCTACAGTGATAAACTAGGCACGTCCATCCTCTCTACCCATTTTTCTTTGTGCATGATACAAAAACACATACTCCTTGTCAAACTGTAAGAATAGAGATGTAGAAAAAAATTACAGCTCCCAAACATATGCTGTTCTATAAGTATTATAATTTATTGTACAACTCACTCTGGCTCCTCTCAGAGCTCAATCAACAAATGTCCCTTAGCACACAGTTTTGGGGCTTTGGAGAGGTGCAGAGGGAATATGAGACCCTGTTAAAAGATACTCATGAAGACAGGTGCAAACATCCCCAAATGTGTTATGTCTGCTCGGACACGGAAGTGAGCGAGCAAAAGGATAGACGGACCCAGGTAGCTGACTTCAGTGCAAACAGTGCTTATTTATTTACAGTGTGACAAAACAAGAAAACAGGCAGGCCTAGGATGATGAGAGTAACCGGGTGTCGATCTGCGGCAGAGAAAACAGCCTGTGGTGAGATGGATGGGGGTAGGCCAGGCTGCGGACACTCCTGTGCTGGTCGATGTGGAAACAGGGGTAACTGAGGAGAAAGAAGGCAGGAGTTTGTACAGAATGTTACTGGTGACCGTGCATCGACCTGAATGGTGAGACTGGAAGGGCAGAGAATCCAAGGTCCGGAGAAGTAGTCCGAGGAGGAAGATAACAGCAGAGGAGGAGGAGTGTGGCAACGGGGAGTACTAAAATAGAACTGGCAGGAGCAGCGGGAAACAAACAGTCGAACACAAACAACGAGAGTAAGTGCCTGAGAACGAGAACAAACTGGCAAGGGAGTGATAGGTGAGCGGGGTATAAATAGGAGTAGAACTAATAAGGTGCAGCTGGTGACAATCAGGGGGATATGGAGCAGGTGTACAAGATGGCGTAATCATGGCTGGAAAAAAAGAAACAGAGTGAGGGAGGTGAGATAGGCAGGTGCAGTGGGGAAAACCTGACAAAATGTCTGACTTATACTTTAAAACTGCACAATAGAATTACATGAATACACAGTACTTCCAATGCACTTTGAACCCCTGTGTTTTTAATATTCCTGAGGTCACTTGATATCCAGGGAAAATATGTTATCTCTGAACAGGATGCACTCTGATTATGAGAAACACACAGAATACTGCAAAGTCAGGATTGAGGCCATGTCCTCAGGATGCACCTTTAGCCTATCACAACCCAGAATAGTGGCAACACATTCCCAAAAAACATTATGATGTTTTTGGAGCCTCCACCTGCATGTTAATGTATACCCAGCCTGAACCCAGACCCTTTATCTCAGCTTGGTGCAGGGCTGAAGATCACTCTGGAAGTGTGTTAAAGAGAAAGTGACTGGACCACTAATGGAGTCCATTCACTTTAGCGCCTCTAGTCCCACTCCAAAACTGGGAGATCAGTTCTGTGCTTTGAGAGTCACCTCACCCCCTGTCGGGGCCCCTGCCAGCGAACATTGAATGCTGTGCAGTCATGGAGGCCACTTCACCACAAGAGGAAGGCTGTCTATTAACAAGTTCAAGTTCAAGTTCAAAGTGTTTATTTGTCATATGCACAGTTAGGAAACATGTTTCCCTGTACAATGAAATTCTTAGTTTGCCGTCCACATGAATGCCACAAAATACAAATGAAATATAAAGTAGAGTAGTAAAGTTCATTTTTTTCCTCAATGTACAGACAGCACCCCATATTGACAGAAAAACACAACATTTTTTGCAGATTTATTAAAAAAGAAAAACGGAAATATCACATGGTCATAAGTATACAGACCCTTTGCTCAGTATTTAGTAGAAGCACCCTTTTGAGCTAATACAGCCATGAGTCTTTTTGGGAATGATGCAACAAGTTTTTCACACCTGCATTTGGGGATCCTCTGCCATTCCTCCTTGCAGATCCTCTCCAGTTCTGTCAGGTTGGATGGTAAACGTGGGTGGACAGCCATTTTCAGGTCTCTCCAGAGATGCTAAATTGGGTTTAAGTCAGGGCTCTGGCGGGGCCATTCAAGAACAGTCACGGAGTTGTTGTGAAGCCACTCCGTTATTTTAGCTGTGTGCTTAGGGTCATTGTCTTGTTGGAAGGTGAACCTTCAGCCCAGTCTGAGGTCCTGAGCACTCTGGAGAAGGTGTTCGTCCAGGATATCCCTGTACTTGGCCGCATTCATCCTTCCCTCGATTGCAACCAGTCGTCCTGCCCCTGCAGCTGAAAAACACCCCCATAGCATGATGCTGCCACCACCATGCTTCACTGTTGGGACTGTATTGGACAGGTGAAGAGCAGTGCCTGGTTTTCTCCACACATACCGCTTAGAATTAAGGCCAAAAAGTTCTATCTTGGTCTCATCAGACCAGAGAATCTTATTTCTCACCAGCTTGGAGTCCTTCAGGTGTTTTTTAGCAAACTCCAGGCAGGCTTTCATGTGTCTTGCACTGAGGAGAGGCTTCCGTCGGGCCACTCTGCCATAAAGCCCCGACTGGTGGAGGGCTGCAGTGATGGTTGACTTTCTACAACTTTCTCCCATCTCCCGACTGCATCTCTGGAGCTCAGCCACAGTCATCTTTGGGTTCTTCTGTACCTCTCTCACCAAGGCTCTTCTCCCCCGATAGCTCAGTTTGGCCAGACGGCCAGCCCTAGGAAGGGTTCTGGTCGTCCCAAACGTCTTCCATTTAAGGATTATGGAGGCCACTGTGCTCTTAGGAACCTTAAGTGCAGCAGAAAATCTTTTGTAACCTTGGCCAGATCTGTGCCGTGCCACAATTCTGTCTCTGAGCTCTTCAGGCAGTTCCTTTGACCTCATGATTCTCATTTGCTCTGACATGCACTGTGAGCTGTAGGGTCTTATATAGACAGGTGTGTGGCTTTCCTAATCACGTCCAATCAGTATAATCAAACACAGCTGGACTCAAATGAAGGTGTAGAACCATCTCAGGGATGATCAGAAGAAATGGACAGCACCTAAGTTAAATATATGAGTGTCACAGCAAAGGGTCTGAATACTTATGACCATGTGATATTTCAGTTTTTCTTTTTTAATAAATCTGCAAAAATGTCAAATTCTGTGTTTTTCTGTCAATATGGGGTGCTGTGTGTACATTAATGAGGAAAAAAATGAACTTAAATGATTTTAGCATATGGCTGCAATATAACCGAGAGTGAAAAATTTCAGGGGGTCTGAATACTTTCCGTACCCACTGTATTTAAGTTCTACAGCTTTCAGCCCCCTCTGTCTGCAGACAAAAGCTGAGAAGAAGAAGCACAATTAGACATTAAAGTTTGATATTAGTAAAATGAAATCTTGCATTATACGATCAAGCATCATACTCGGTCAGTACAGAATGGCATTGCACTTTAAGGTATGCAGCACATTGTCTTTTGCTAATCCAGCTTAGTGTGTCCCTCCGTGTAAGCACTGCCAAATAGTAAGAACAGAGTCGCTGATTTATCACTGTTTGTTGGACCTTCTTACCTGCTGCTTGACTTTGACATTTGATATTAAAGATGGCCCTGACACTCTAAGACTCAGGTGCTGTGACTCACTTTCTTTGACTGAATCAAAAGACCCTTGAGATTTCCTGCCATTTTTCTCTGGAGTGTTTTCTCTCAAAGAACAGGAAAGGCAGCCCGGTTCCCATACACTCAGAGAAGTTCAATATCAGTGCCTCAATTGAACAGCTGCAGAATCATTGTGAGAGTCTCTGTGCTGTAGTATTACACTTAACTAACAATAGTGGTCTGCAGCTTGGAGAGGGAA